CTGCTGTAGATCTGGAAGCTGATGCGGCCGTTGAGTGGCAATCGTTTCTTTTCTTGTGTGTCAACACAGCCAGTGGTTCCCGTCATCTCGAAGCTGTGCAGAGTAGGTCTAGACCTATATGCACCTAGATGCAGCTAGATATTCCACGCTCTTCGTACAGGAGCAGTACACGCGGGCACGCCTTGCCCAACGGCAGGCAGTCCGGTAGCGCGTNCGTTAAAGGATGACTTTGGGGCAAACGCTCTTCTTCAGATGTCGTATTGCCTTGTTGTTGCTTGTGGCTGGACGTCGGAAAAATATCATGATACGGCAGATGGAAGCAGCAAGCAGATGCTGCTGTAGATCTGGAAGCTGATGCGGCCGTTGAGTGGCAATCGTTTCTTTTCTTGTGTGTCAACACAGCCAGTGGTTCCCGTCATCTCGAAGCTGTGCAGAGTAGGTCTAGACCTATATGCACCTAGATGCAGCTAGATATTCCACGCTCTTCGTACAGGAGCAGTACACGCGGGCACGCCTTGCCCAACGGCAGGCAGTCCGGTAGCGCGTACATACAAATTGTTCAGAGCACGAGCAGGACGCGCTCTTTGTATTGATTGCTTCCGTACGGTTTAAGCGGTATTCAGCTCCTCCCCTGCACACCATGGGTCTCCTGTGAGCGCAGAAACTTACCAACACACGAACAGGCGGGCTCTGCAAGTCTGCACAGCTCTGGCTCAGTCCCAAGCAAGGTACCTCCAAACCGTCAAGCAAGAACTGCAGCGCGCGCGCGCCGAGAGCACGGCATGCTTTCCGAACCCTCCGGAAATCCTACCCCCGGACCCCCTTCATATCCCTTCGCAAGATCGGTAATCCGACCTCCCGTTCGGTAACGGTTTCGTGCTTAGGTCTGGCCCAAACTGGAACTGTGCACCCAGGCTTCACACACGTTTCGTGCAGAAAGATCCACAAAATCTACGGTCGACAGGGTAAAATGATGGCAAGACCTCTTTTTTTGAGTTTACGTCAAATCATTCCCAGCTCATTCACAGTCGGAACAGCAGACTCGCATTCAGTCACAAATGAAAAGCATCCTACCGCCAACTTGGGCGAACCGCAACCCAGAGTTCCCAAATGTTGGTCTTCTCGACGGTAAGACGGCAAGGGACTGCCAGACGGTCCTTGTTTCGCTCTTGCTACGTTGCCAGGCAGCACGAGGAAGAGGCTTTACAATCGCACACCACACACAACAGGCTCCACAGCAAACGCGCGATCAACGAACATGTCTTCTCCTCATGGACTTAGCAACGGCAGCGCGACAAGCTGTAGCAGCAGCATGGCCTCCACAGGTGCCACAAGATACACACCGCTGCATATTTGCAGCACATGCCACCGATTTCATTGGTGCCGTGCCCCCCCTGCCCGCGTTTGTGCCACGGTGTTCCCCGGCCCGCGTCACTCAATGGGCTCATTGGCAGCAGCCCCAACTCCGCCCAACTGCAATCCAGCGCAACCTCAACCACAGCCTAGTCGTTGTTTCGTCAACTTGATCTCTGAGGTCGGGGGGGGGGGGGCCATCGTTGTGCATGCCGTAGTCGCTAGACCATTGACCTCGCATCCCTACAAAGCCGGGACGGAGTACGCCGGGCTCTCACCGGACCAGGCTCTTACATCACCAAGCGCGAAGCGCCGNGGGTGCGCTGCATCCTGCTAAGGGTGTTCGGCATCTTGTGCTTACTTCCTTGCGTACGGATGACAGCTGCGTATGGCTGAATTTATATTCTGGCGCTTTCCCTTCCTGAGACAGTTGTAAGCACTGTGCAACTGCCTCAAGGGTGCTTGACCATTTCAACGGTCGGGGGTGGGAAAAAAACGGTTAGGATGCACAACACTCTTCCAGTGTTCTGTGGAGTTTTTCCGGACAAACTCAATCGTCTGGGTATAAAGTCTGGGTGCACATTTCCGATTTGGACCAGGGCTGATTGTTTTTGGCACAGTCGTGAGCGCCGCCACTCAGGCATCCTTTTTACCGTGCCACGAGTGCGGAGGGTCTCCTCTCGACTTGAATCGATCACCAACATTGGCCGCTGAGGACGGCACGAAGAACCATGTATTGGGGGCTGTAGACTTGCCAGGAATTGCGATATTCCATTTCTATCACGACTTCATCCCCATTGGCCCCCATTGACCATCAAAAACATACATGCAGACCCTAAACGATATCCATCCATACCACGGACCCCTGGGTCTCCGTAGACCTTCTAAGTTGTGGCTACCATTGACCAAAGCCCACAGGGCACGAAGGTAATACTGGTCGAATAGAACAGTCAACTGGGGTGCAGCCGTGCAAGAGTTTGGTTTTTGATTTATGAGTTTTAACAAAAAGTAGCCGAAGTCAGCAAACAAAAAGACTGTAAAATTAAGTCGAGCTGTCGGAAACGCAGAACCGGGTTGTTTTCGTCGTGGACCACAAATCGGATGTCGTTTCCGTTGATTTGATTTTCGAATAACGTTGATACATGTTGTGGTCCAAAGCAGTATGTTTTCCTCCACTCTTGTCGTACTGATCCGACAGACTGCATGCTGCGCAAACCCTCAACGAAGGACATATGTAGCTGAAGGCGGGCGCTTGGTCAGCGCCTGCTGTCTGGAGCTGTTGAATGGCGGGAATGGTTCGGCGGTAACGACGTTGTTGGCGGAAAGCAAATTCCAGGTACGACGCAAGACCAATTATTACCCTTTGGGGCCGCCGAGGCGGTGCGTGCGCAGGCTTCACCGGACTCAAGAAATCCACTTAGTCTATCCCACTGAGTCCTTCAACACTCGCCTTGACGACAACCGTTGGTAGTATTTCGAACGGTAGTCTGATTGAAGTCGTTGTACTTCCTAAATGCAATAGATTGTCTGGGTGCAACCGTGTTAGTGATGGTAGCATAGTCGGGTTTGTACGAAAGATATAACAAAGACGAAGCGATAGAAAAAAAGAAAAAAAAAAACGAACATCTATTTCTGTACCTAATATTGGTCAAAATATACCCTATTTTGGCCTGTTTTGGGAATATTTTTGGGAAAATATTTTGAGATTTTTTTTTGAGAATTCTCGACAAATTTCTCAAAACCATCTATTATTAGTACCCTACCGGCCCACTACTCACTCTAGCGATGGAATCGCCCCCCAGCACACCACCTCGCAAAAGGGGCACCGAATTATCGGTTGGTAGGCGCTATGCCATGGCGGTAGGAATTGTCGACTTTCTCTATATTTTCCCCGCCACCAACTAACCCTTCTTTTTGTCCCGCAAGTGTCTTGATTTTAGTGTGCCCCCCCAATGTCTTGGTTTTAGTGTGGTTCACTACTATACTGCTTTTAGTATAGGGGGCGCGACATGGATCGTTGAGTAGAGGGGGGGGTTGGATGAGGGCCCTACTGTTGCTTGCTTTGCCCCGCAAGTGTCTTGTGTGGTCACCCCAAGTGTCTTGTTTTCAGTGTGGGGCCACTATTATGCTGTTTTTAGTACAGGGGACGCATCATGGATCGTTGAGCAGAGGGGGGGCTAGGTCTAGGGTCAGGGATAATTCTTGGTATTTTTACCTTGTTTTTGTCATTGCCCCGCCCCCCCCGCCTGGTCGGAGGGGGCAGGATACATGCAAAATACGGCCTTTTTCAGGCCGACTGTTTTTTTCTCGGCCGCTCATGCACGCGGGGTGGCGCATGCATAAAAATAAAAATAAATGTTTCTTGCTAAAAAAACTCCGAAGATTTCAACAAAAAACTCGGAAAACAGATCGGACACGGTTAAGGGCCCGTACAAATTTAGGTACCCTAACTTATGATACAGAGGAAGTATGATATGTGTGTCAAGCTGAACATCAGGTGGGATCCATGCTGAGCACCTGAAAGGAACTGCTGTCGTGGTTGAATATACTCGGAGTAGGCCGCAGGACACACGACACACCTTGAAGTCCGTCACTGACATCCGTCATTCGATTTTTCGAACAGATCTGTCCGCCCGCGGGGTTACAGCCGAGTACATGGGCTTCATGCAAAACGTACAGTAGCGCCGACCGACTAACACACTCTGCCGTCCCTTCTTTTGAAAGACGCGATTCAAGGCTTGCCACCACCTACCGCACCTCCTTCACGTCCTTACCCTACGAATCTCCTGAGATGCCCCACGTGGCCGATACTCGACACAGCAGTTGCGGAAACACCAGATCGGGAAAAAAGCCCCATGATCACGGTTTATTATTCATGATCTCAATCGTCGTTAGAAATAAACCATCGCGAGGCAAGCGTGCAAGCGCACAACTGAGAGCGTACAACTACATATTCGAATCACAACGTATCTCTGGCTGCGGGACCGAGGCTGGCTCGAGGATATCTCCGGCCAAACTACCAATCCGCCAAGCAAGTCATCGTCAAAGTACACAATTGATAGTAAACTTGATCGACTTCATAGTCGCGAGGGAAGGGATTGCTGTACCCTTCTCGCGATGAAAACATTTCAGGCAGGAACCGCAGGAGGGGGTCCAACCCCCCCCTCCTATGTGACCCCGGTTGGGTCGTCTAGCTGGTAGAAGTGGAGGATAGGGGCCAGAGGGGCAGACGACAGAATCCAATGATGGGAGAAAAACAAACAAAACAAACAAAAACAATATGCATGTGCGTGAAGACAAGCCTCTGCGAATATAAGTTGGATATTAAACGCAAACCTCAACTTGCTGAACTGCCCAGTATGAAAATTTATCGGCACGTATAGACTATACGTACACATATGCATAGCACGCCGTGCCATCGGTCTTCGACCCCCCAAGCCTTTCGAGGGGTGTCGCAACACCATTGTAGTACTTTCAGGGGCTGTCTGATCGGGGGGGGAGTGAGGGTATCCGGCGGGTGGGTCGGTTGAAATCCAACCAGACGCCCGCACCTCGGCAGCTCGGGCAGCGTCGCACACCAGACTATGCTGCGAGGCATCGCAAGAACGCATCACCGCACATCAACGCCCACGGCCAACAAACCTCACCAGCAGGAGTCTTCTCCACGCGCAGAGAGACAAACCGGCCGCTAGTTCCTTGCTGTGTCCGCATTTCGTCCAGGCCGGTGTAGTTCTTACGTAGTATGGCTCGGTTCATCATCAGCTCCCACCAGCGCCGAACCGAAAACACGCCACTTCAGATGCACGGGTCAACGGGGTGGTGCCTAAGAAAATGCTTCTGCCGCAGATGTTTCTTTAGAAAAATCCGCGGACAAGCCAAATTCGTTGAAAGAACTTCCTCCCTCTCGGTAGTTGCTCTGTTTCGCACCAAAATTGGGCGTGCAAGGGGACTGAGAATGGACGGGATATCGAATACTCGAGTAAAACATGCATGCTACGACATTGTAATAGGGGAGTATTGGGTACGTGCAAACAGGACTGTGGGGTGGTGGGTACAAGAGTGCGACAATGTCTGTTGTTGTGGTTGTTGTCTTCACATTCAAAACCATCCCGGTCTCTCTATCCAGTACCTCCTTCTGTCTCAATCTCTCCGTACTAATCCAGCATTTGACTCGGTCAATCTCGGGGATTGCTGGACCGAGTCCGGAGGGCGGTGTGGGGGATGCTATATGCCGACGATGCCGGCGTTGTGTCGAAGTCCGCCGACGGCCTGGCGAGGATGATGACCATTATCGTGGAGGTGTTCCGGGAGTTCGGGCTGACGGTGTCGGAGAGGAAGACGGAGACCCTGGTGATGCGGGTGAAGGAGAGACAGCGACCGCCGCCGCCGCCACCGCCGGTGCTGACCATCGAAGCAGCGGGGCAAAGGTACGCACAGACGACCGAGTTCCGATACCTGGGCGGCCTCGTCAACGAGCAGGGCGACCTTACCCGAGAGATCAACCACAGGAGCAAAGC